TGCCATGCTCACTGTCTTTTTCCAAAAACTTACTTTCGAACCCTGATTCATTGTATTTCATTGCTTCAGATGGTACCAGTGGAATACTGGTAACTCCGATTTCTTGCACCTGAAAATCACTTGAAGATTATCCCATTGAGCTGCTGCTGAAATAGCAATAAAATATGGGATGCTATTAGCCGGATGGCATGTTGAGGACAGATTTTGAAATATTTGGATCATCTATGATATGCTTCCATGATATGCGCGAATGCTCGCGATAACGAAAAAACTTTTTTATAGGTTCTATACGAACTTTATCACCTATTAGCATCTCTTCCTTAAAGGAATAATTTAGTGGTTGTAGGAGATTCGGAATCGAAACTAGACATCTAATCATCACATGGCGCTCCCCAGATAAGCATATTGTCTATATTCTAAATAATAATCATTGGAGAGCTTTTATGTTGGGCTTCTGCTCAAATAAAGGAGTCGAAATTAGTAGAACAAACGCTTTAGAGCGAAGATTCGAATGAAATTAAGCACCCAGATTGTTGCACAGATCCATAGAGAAAAAGCGCATTTCAAAGTGAGATATTGAAGAACCTCAAATATGATATTAGTGGCAGCATCTTTCTATCAGCCAAGCACTGACCATATTTCCGATCTCGTCTCCAAGATTTGTTAAATAGGAGCCACAATGTTGTTCGAAAGTCGGTACAAAGGATCTTTAAAGAAATAATCGCCAGTCCAATTAAGTACCACCAGTGCACAGATGAAGAGGCGAAAACTAAGACTTGCAACGATTGTCATGAGACAAGAATGAATGAAGAATGGAAAGAATGACAGTGCTATAGCCTTGAATATGAAGCTCGATTAGTTGATAATCGAAAATTCTATCTCTTCGCAAGAAAAGCATAACGGGAAACACAGTTGGGAAAATGACTGGAAATAGAAATGGAAAACCTATTGAAATCAAACGCTCAAACGCCGAATCAGATGAAAGATTTCTTTAAGGACAAATTTAACTATGACAATCGCATTCTTCAGATTGTTCAGCATCTTTCATAACTTATCTGCAAAAATTGCCCTCACCCAAAGGGAATAAGGAACAAGTACCGCGTGATTGTAGCAAAGTGATTCTATTCCCATTTTCAATTATAATTATAACAGATTTTGTGCCAATTGTCAACAGGAGCAAAGATAGGCCTGAATATCAACGTAAGGCGGAACCTTTTTCCATCTATCCGACGTTATTAAAATACTAAGCTATAGAAATTTTTCATTGCTCCAAGAAGTATTGGATTTGAATCATCTGAGATTTCCTCTTATATCCGCTGGTTAAGCGGGGGATGCAATTCCAGCTGGGATTGTTGGTACCAGAAATTCCTTTCCAGATATTTTTTTCTGTCTGGCAAATTTATTCAAATCGCCTTAAAATTTATCTAATAAAATGATACCACTCTTACATTTAGCTGTTTTGTATAGCCTTTTTTTGTTGCTGGAAACATGGCTGGTATGTATGGAAATATATGAAGAAGACTATCTGTATAAAGCGTTGGCAAGTTCTCAAATGGCTACCTCCAAATTCGCATTTGTATTGATTGTATCATTATTGTATATCACGACTAAACGTAACCTATGGTGGTTATGTCATTCCTCAAAGTATAGAAAATATAATTGTAAAAATGATAAATCTGCTTCTATCACTTCAAGACATATTGAACGGAGATTTTCAATGATCATCTCTCGCAATTCGCGCTTCATTAGTTCGATCTCAAGAAGGATTTCCATAATATTTGCTTCGCCAGACTTGTGGTCACGTGATTCGATGTGTTTGAGGATTCCAGATTCCTGTGAGAAATTATGTTAATAAGCTAAAATGAGAATTTTTTTGTTATTTATGAGAATCCAAGCATACTTATAAGTATGTTCATGACATACGATGATTGAGACGAAAGCAACCATTATTGGGTGCTTCCCAAATTTGTCGCTTTTAGCGCATTGCTTTGGTTTTTGGAAATTTTAATTATAATTTTTAGTTAAATTTGATTTACTTACCGGTACAAAATTCATAATATTGGCTATCATCACTGGCGTTCTTGTAGTTTTTATGAGAAGCGTTATCAACGATACCGATTCTTCCATCATTTGCTGCTTCTCATCTTCCTGTTTTATATAAAAATATTAATGTGTAGAAAATATAATTGAAATATAGGAAATATATGATACGATAAATATAATAAAATTGTTAAAATGATAAAAATAATAATGAAAATGATAAATATATATATTTTTATTCTTGAATTTGGCATTTTTGAATTTTTTTTCTTAAATGTTTCATTCAGTAAATAAAAAAATACTTTGGGCCGAAATTCATTCAGAACGAATGGTACATTGAGATTCGCAGATCGTCTAAAACGTCGTTTGATTTCGTCCGTAAGATTATCAGACCTGGCATAAAATTTTTTCAGAGAAATTGGCAAATCATTTGTCATTTTGTCATTTTTATAGATCAGCATTACTATTTTTTTGTCCTTTTGAATTTACTTCTATAATAGTGAAAAATCGAGGAAGATTTCTTCATTTCCTCTAATTTTAATCAAAAAATTGGTAAATACTAAATAAACATAAAAATTCCGGAAAAATTGGAAGAAAAATTTGAGAATCCAACTTTTCTCTAAAATCATCTCAGTTCCGTCTAAAAATTTGTTTAATTATCAATATTCATATAGAATATTCACTCAAAAAATAGTCATTTCCATATTCATAATCTTTTTTACGATTCTACGATTCTTCCCACTTTGATTCTCCAATTCATAAAACAAGAAGAATTTTCTTAATAAAAGGAGGTAAGGTCACAGTTGCTAGATGGATGGAATTTCCCAGATAAGTTGTTCATGATTTCTTATTCATGATTTCTTATTTTATTATTTTGTTTTGATAGATGAAATTTTTTTGCATGGATGAGCTGTTGATAACCTCGTATTAGCTTGACTAAGTTTGCGTAGCTCATAATGAATTATTCTCTTTATTCCACGTACATTCGCATGATTCTTACATAAATGCCTAACTTAATAGCTTTTGCAGGTGTTACTTCCGCTGGTAGCCATGGATTATCGCAGAATATTTACTGTCATTAATGATAATTCTATCCAGAAGTGATTTCTTTCTTATTTAGAAAAAGTGAATATATCGAAGGTCTTCAAAAAACATGTATTCATTGGTAATTAGGGGGAAGTGAAACACAAATAGCCGCCCTATTTGACTTCTCCAGAACTCAAAGTTGACGAAATACTATCATAACTTGATTTCATCTAATGTTTGCTATGGATCAGTTTGGAACGTGAAGTGCAAAAAATCATCGATTTTAAAGATCTAGGCGATCGCAGGCTGCTCCACGAATTGAAATTATCACTCTTCTAAATTTTATCCTAAGTTACCTCTGATTCTTCCTTATGCCCGCTGCATTCGGATATATTTTATAAATATATATACTAATTAAAGTTTTTAAAGCATGTAAAATCAGAAATATTCCTCAGTTGATTTTTAATTCCCTTATCGCTAAACAATTTTCAAATAATTTTAAATATATAGACGGTACTATTGTACTACTATATGAACAGCCACATGATTTGAGCTTGGTACTTGATATATTTTAAAACAAAAACCAATTTGTTAAAAAATCAACTCAGAAAGTGATAAGTGATAATTTTGCAATAATTCATAATTTGTTTAGGAAATTTCAAAATTCGAATATAAAAATTTAATTTTTCGAAGTAATCCATCTATTATGACTTTGCATTTAAATGAAGTAAAATATAGAAGAAATATTATTAAAAAATAAATAACCAATTGAAAACTTGCCTCATCTCCGGGGGATTCTTTGGTTCAATGTTTGAATAGTACGAGAACTTTAGCTCAGATGCCATGATTCAGTAGCCTAGAAAATGCAAGACAGTGGAAATCTGCAAAAAAATAAGTTACTTCCTAGAACCAGAAATTTCATCAAAAATCGTGACAGAGTAACTATTTACTTTATTGCAGTTCGTTCCGAATAGTAGCAATTTGTATTAATAACTATAAGAATAAGAAAAGTTCCTTTGTTCATCTGAAACTTCTGGTCTCCGCTGGGCTACTTAGAAATTTGAAAAGATTTCACCGAAAAGTTATTTGAAAATAGAAATCCAGGTTGACTTTAATTATGATAATAGGAAGATTCAACCACTCTTTTACTTAAAGGACAATTAATGTTCTTGCTATTGCTCTAAATTTAGTAATAGACCTTTTAGCTTTCGTAAATGAATAAATCGGAAATTTCAGATAGAAATAAACGATAGCCAAGAAATTCTGAAAGGTGATATATGGGCCACAGTTAGTAGAAATAATTGCCTGCAATTAAACGATTATCCGATCGAAAATAGGAGAAACCGAAACTAACCAAAACTGACAAGATTTTGTTACTGATATAGTTTATTATCCTTAAAGGCACATAAGAATTTCCCTCAATATCCCAGTTAAGCGCTAATTAGAATACACTAATTTCATTTGCATTTTTTGTAAATCATATATTTTTGTTAGAAATTAGAAATATGAAAATCAGATTTTTTATTCATTATTCTGTTTATTTATCAAGTGTATTTGACTCTTTCACCATAGAGTCAACTTGGGGATAGAGTTACAGGTGGTTTCCCAGCAGCCACTCGGATTTTTAACATAATAGCGTTTACTCCTACCAAAGACAAAAAAAATTAAATTTGATAAATTAAATTAAATTTTGATACGGTGAGAAAAGATTTTGAAGGTATAGGTGGACCAGCAATATATGGATTTAGACGATGGAAAAATGAATGGTTTCCATTATTGTAGACGATGATGACGATCAGAGCGCGCCGCTTGGAAACGTCTTACCCTTTTAGCCGTTGGAACCAGCCTAACCAGCAATGGTGAAGAAAGAGCTGTTAGGAGAAGAAAGATTCTGTTTATTTATTTATATATTCAAAATTTTCTTATTTTCTCATTTTAAACTTGAAGAAAAGAATGCGAATAGAGCCATCAAATCTTTAAAATAAAAAGTTCTGGATGACTAAAATTCGTGTTAACACTGGAAAAAGTATGAAGAATTTTGAAGAAAAATCCAAAACATACTCCAAAATTTTTCACCAATAATTTCAATTCTTCTTCTTTGGTTGATAATAAAATATGCTGGCAGTGCAGAAAAATTTATAGACAACATTCGTGTGAAATTCGCCATTTAATCCAAAATCCTTAAGAAATTTTTAGAGTGGTTAGAAATAAAAACTATTTTTAACATTATACCTATTAGTAACTCTTCATGATTAAATCATTGCAGAATATAATATTGGAAATTGATTTGTGCAAAATTTTTTATAATTTTAGATAATTTTTAGTTATATAAAATAAGTTTTAAATTTTATTATTTAGTTTCTACCGAAATCATATCCATTTCAGCGAAGGGGAGAAACCAAAATGAAGCTTTAGGCAGATTCAGAAACTGTAGTGGAAACTGGTATGTACTAGCAAAAATTAGATTATATCTTGTCCTTTTCTGAAATTTATAGAAAATTATCAAATTGATCCAGAAATCTCTCTTCTCCTTCTTTTTCGTCAAGCGGCTCGCACAGTTACCAACATTATTGCGTTTATAATTTCATCGCTAAGCAATATTTCGATACGCTGAACATATTTGCATAACACATAGGCAGCAGTGGTTGTCATTATTATGGTGGAATTTAAACCTTTATTAATGTCAAATTTCCTCTAAGCTATAATATATATGATACCTTTTGCCTAAAATTGAGTGATAATGGAGATTTGGACAAAAAAAATGTAAAAAAAAATATTTTTCTCTAAAACTCGATAAGCTATTTACTTTTTACCAAAATCGTCGTAAATTCGTAAATCTTTTTAAATCTTCATTCTTAATTCAGTGAAAGCTCTTTTAAAAATTCAATTAGCACATGACTAATTGCTTCCATAAAAATTCTCCTGGTTTCTTCTTAATATGAATAGCTCGTGTTGCTTGATATGGTTTCAAATCGATAAACTTAACACTTTCATTCGTGGAACCACTCTACCCATCCGCAGTTCAGATATTTCATGGGAAAATATTTCAGATATTACGGTATAGTACTGTGGCAATTGGATAAATCACAATTAATTTGTTTAGTTAAAATCGTTAACCAAACAAATTATTTATAACATACGGCGTGGCAAATAATTGTTTCGATTTGAAATTCAAATATCACGAAGATTCGGTAAATCCATCACGTGATATTGAATAAAGGTGGATGCGAACAAGTACCGCTCGACGGATCCCTACCTTAAACAAGAGTGGTTCTTCTAAAAACTCTCACCATTGCTGCCCCACTGGTTACAAAATAAGATGCCTCCAAGCTGCCCAGTTAGACGCCATCGCTAGTGGTATAGAAGCCATTCCTTTTTCCATCGTCTAAGTCCATATATCGCTGGTCTTTACTCACTATGTATGTACAGAGACGTGCCTTAACCAGCGAAGGCGACGCTCTATGATTAATGCAAATGGTATTTGAACGAAGATGGATGCGATCAAGTGATATTTTGTCCGCTCGACGGACTCCTACCTTAGACAAAGATAGTCAAAGGTAAATAACATCTTAATATCCTCCACTCTTGTTGGCATGCCTCAGAGCAATAGCAAGATCGAATGAAGATAAATGCAGACTTTCGTTTTTATGGTAATTTCACGACGGCTCCATAAAGATTAGGGCAACCAGAAGGATGCATTTCTAGCTACTGTTATCAGTAATTTCGTCTTTTGCCTGGTCATTCTGTATAAGATTGGACCAAAGATTTAAAATCAAGCATTTCTTCAACCCGCAATGAATTTATAAAAAGAGGCAGCTTCTTGTACATAAGACGAAAAGACTTTTGTTTTATTTACATTGATTAAAATTAGGAATTTTGATCAATGAAAAAATTAGGAAAATAGTAAAAAACTTTCACCCGAAATTATTTAAATCAATTTCTAGCGCTGCAAATTTAAAACATTTTACAATTGAAATGAGCGATCTTAGATATTAGAGAGGCGATGAATATAGCTCAATTCTCGTCTTACCGAATAAGTAAAGAATCGTTGAAAGTAATGGTATATTTCACCGCCGGCTAAGAAAAAAAAATTTTTTTTTTCATAACCTCCCACTTATGCTACACCTCTCATGACTCTTCACAGAGTCAGACTAGAGTTAAGCTCAACAGGGTCTTCTTTCCCCGCTGTATTCGCCAAGCCCGTTCCCTTGGCTGTGGTTTCGCCAGATAGTAGATAGGGACAGTGCGAATCTCGTTAATCCATTCATGCGCGTCATTAGTTAGATGACGAGGCATTTTGCTACCTTAAGAGAGTCATAGTTACTCCCGTCGTTTACCCGCGCTTCGTTGAATTTCTTCACTTTTACATTCAGAGCGCTGGGCAGAAATCAGAGACAGTCAACGTCCACGGGAACCCTCTGTTTATAAATAGTTTTGCACTGCTTCGATTCAACCATAGCATACTTCACGTAACAGCACGTCCGATCCGACTCAGTTCTTAGAGCCAATCCTTTCTAAAGATCTAATTTGCCGATATCCCTTACCTACATTATTATATCGACTAGAGGCTATTCACTTTAGAGGCCTGCTGCGGATATCGGTACGATCCGACATGAAATTCAAATAGCCTCCCTCGGATTTTCATGGGCCAAATAAGATACCACACGAACCGCCGTCCTTTGCGAAAATAACGTCCCTATCGCCGGCTGAACCGTTTCCAGGGAGTCCATTTCTTAACCAGAAAAGAGAACTCTGGCTCAAGCTCTATTCAGCGTTTCCGAGTTCGCTTGCTTTACCGCGCTAGACATTCACAATCGTGAACGTCACTCTCCGTGCCAGGGTGCGTGAATATGAACCTGTTTTCCTTTCGGTGATGACGAAAGGAATGATAAAAAAATTTTTCCACCATTCTTCTCTCTCATTTAAATTCAGAAAGCGGCATTAGCCGATATCTTAGGATCGACTGAACCACATTCAACTGCTGTTCAGTTTCCCTCCACATACCCCTAATAATTTACTCGAGCTCTGGAACAATGGTTGAATGGCTTAGTGGTTGTTGCTCAGTTTGGAGCGCCCATGCTGAGGTTCTGTTCCTTATTTGGATAAACTTGTTGAAAAATTCGAGTGATGCTGACGCTGTGTGTAACAAACTGCCGAATCAACTAGCCTTGAAAATGGATGGCGCTTGAGCGAAAAACTTGTACTCGACCATTGTTTGGTATGTATTTTTTTTGAAAAAAACCGACCACAACGAGTAAGAGAGTCGCAGTGGTTTTCTTTGAAGGTTTTGAGCGTAGGCTCAACTGGAGCTTCCACTGTGCAAATCTTGGTGGAAGTAGCAAATATTCAAATATTCAGGTGAGGTCCTTGAAGACTGAAGTGGAGAAGACAACAACCGAATTTGCCTTGTCCTTACATTTTCCAAAAACTTGCACGAAATCGTTCTTTTTTGCTAAGCCGTCAATGCAATCAGAAGAAACGAAACCTCTTTTGACAAATATGGAATATATCAAAACCACTAACATAATAAAATAATAAAATTCATAGTACAGTTGTCGCTATTATGTCGCTATAGGTCATAGATTTTCGCGATTTTGTCGCTCGATTTGAACGACGATTTGATAATGCCTCATCCATTTATCCAATAACGGTTTTTCACTGAACGATGGCGAAAAACACTATATTAATGTGATTAATATCTTCTACAATAGATTGAAAATACCATTTGTATAAAATAAGTTTTCTATTTTTCATTATATTTTCAACTCTTTATGATTATAAATTCATTTTAGTATAGTATAAAATATATAGCTATATATTTGATTATATTTGATTAGACTTCAGCAAAGTTTAATGATGAGTCTTAAGCCATGGCTGAGGCTTAGTCCAAAGCTTAGGATTTGGCTTGGGCCTAGGCTTGGGCCAAGGCTTAGGCCTAGAAGGCTTAGTTCGAGACTTAGACCAAGCCCTATGCTTCGTCCTGGTCTTGGCCAAAAATTTAGCTAGAGCCAAGACTTAGGCCAAGGCATATTCTTAGGGTTAGACGATTTGTGCAGAATTATCGGAATAGAGGACAATGGTTTAAGGAAATTCGAATCTAGGCAAGGTTTTTCATAAAATAAATAGGACTGATAAAATAAATCAATTAAATATAATTGATTATAGGATATATCAGAGAATTTAGAGAGCAATGGCTTCTCATATAGAACAGTAGTTTTTACGAAACATTAGTACATTCCAATGAAAATGGAGGAAACCCATATTCTTCCATAACTGTTTAATATTTTAAAATCTTAAAATTCTAGAAATTTTATTAAGAATTTTTCTATCTGACAGTTTGCGAATGTTTGCATCAAATTGCGTGAAATAATTTTTATCTCGAAACCTTTTTGTTAACTTAAGACTGCAACAAATTTTGGATAGCCAATTTTCGCAATAGATAGTCCACCAAATAGATTTATACTTATCGCTTACGATTGACATCTCAAAATCGAATTGACAAATTAGAAACTGATGTGTATGCAAAAAAAATTTGGTTTAGTTTACTTACTTTAAAATTTAACTTTACTTTAAAATTTAGTTTGACTTGGTGCAACCATGCTTTTGTCGTATGATTTCAAATAATAAATTTTTTTCGCCAGCTTCATGTGCTCTCTTCATAATATATTCATAATATGTTGATATAATATATCTATATATTCATAGTTATCATTCATTCTAACCACCTGGAAAAAATTTTTGATTATCTAATACTGCTCAATTTTTACGACAGCTTCTATGACACTCTCTTTAAGTGACAATACATTTTTTGCTCTCCCATTCATTACTCTCGTCATGTTTAGTAAATTTTATACATAATGTCTATTTTTTTTTTTCTTGACTTTCTTCTTTTTTCAAAAGACAGCGCTTTCTTCTAAACTTTTTTAATTTAAAGGATTTATTTATTTTTTTGCAATAGTTGGCGAATTTAATAAATATATCAAATATCTAAAATTTGCAATTAAATTTGTAGAAAAAATTGAAATTATTTGTATTTAACTTAATTAAATTTAATTAAATTAGATTTTAAAAAAATTCGCTAAACTAAATTAGAAAAATTTTAGTAAATGTGAATTACATAGTAGAAATAAAATTTTATGAGTCGAATAGATACCAATTTCTAAAATTTCAGCACATTTATTTGAACATGAAAACAATGATAATGACGATTTTTTTCAATAACGTTATTCTTAAAGTTTATTTTTTGGCATACCATCCAAAGAAATCCATGAAACACGCTAATTTGTTTTGTAATTGTTTTCATATAAAATTACAAAATTTTAGGCTTTGGCTGGGGCTTGGACTTGACCTTAGGCTCTGGTTTAGGCTAACGCTCAGGCCCAGGCTTGGCCAAGGCTCCAGCCAAGGCTTAGGATTAGGCCAAAACATAGTCCGAGGCTTAGACGAAGGCCAACGTTTATTCCGAGACTTGGCCAAGGATTGGTCTTGGGGCAAGACATAGGCCAAGCGAATCATACTAAACTTCTAAATGTGTTCGAAGTCTCGATCATCACTAAAGAATATTATTAAAATTATAGATCAAGATAATGCGAAACAAGAGAAGAAAATGAAATGAGTGTTAAAATTTTGCTATTGAACTAAAAAATAATTTTTGCGAAATAAAGAAGTTACACATCAGAAAAATTCGAATCAGATAAGATGAATGATAATACAGAAAGCTCGATTAATTGTTTTCTACCGACTGGCAAGAAATAAATATTTTCATTTTTTGCAGTGCATTTTCATTGTATGGTTTGCGTAGAGTAATCACTCGTTTATCACTCGTATAGCAGTGTGAGTACTGTGAAAATAAGAATCTTAAATGGAGCATTTTATTTCCCAATAGTTCCGAGATAAAGGTTGGCATCAATATCTGCTTCTCATCATTTTTATCACTTTAATCAGCAATAATTTCTTCTAAGCTCGCATTATTTCTAACAAATGGTTTTTTTGCATTAAAAATTTATAAAAAATTGCCATTAATTTTATTGTATTTTATTATTACGTAAATATTAAAGACAATACAATAAGGAAAACGAATACATACGATAAGTTATCAGTTAATTTGATAATTTCATTGGACTGATATATTACTTCTTTCCTAGATTTCAACAAACTGAGGTAATTCTAAATAATCCAAGTGATTTTAATGAATTAAGGAAAAATGACCAGAACTGGAAGGAGAATTGAGTATTACTTCGACTGAAGTCGCTGAAATCATGACATTATAGACACCTATATCTTTATCCTCAGGTGACTCTATCCTCAGGTGACTCTCTGTTTTTGTACTATTCTTCAAATAACCAAAACGGTTTCGGCTATGGCAATAGTGATGAAAAAAGGAATGGTATATCTGCCAATTTTAGGCCTTATGGCCTTAATAGTATGAGCCTAGTAGTACAAGACTCTCTAAGAATAATCTTCAGGTCTCATTCAAAGGTCTCAAGTCTCAAAATAACAAATAAGCAAATTGGCGAAAACAATGATTTAATAATCGTCCATTGTTCAAATTGCTTATTGTTATGAATTGTATTATAGTGTTAAAAATTTGTTTAAAAATTGCAAATCGCTATTTTTGCAAAATTTTTTAATAATTTTCCATATATATAGGCCTCCACGATTCAGACATGGCACTGATTCAGACACTGATTCTATAATAAAGTACTAGAAAAAGATAAAAGTGCGACGCTAATATAGCGGATATTCTATTAAAACTAGGAGTGACAAGGAGAAACTGAAAAGTACCAATGTTCTTTAGTTACTTACAGTTTTCTTATTTTATCGAGAAAAATACAAACGAGAGTTTTCTGCGATAAATTCCAAAGAGCCCTAAAGGCAAAGACGAAAATAAGGCGAATGAAAGCCCATCATTCCTCGATGTCGATTCTATGAAAATTATCATTTATTATAGTTTATTAAAATTAAAAATAAAAAAATGAAGATTGTAGATAATAATCATAATTGTTGCCGAACAGAAGAAATTTTGATTTCAGAGTCATATTTTATTTTGTAATCAAGAATGCCTATTACCTCAGACAACAGTAGTATCAATATCATTATAGTCCAAAATGGAGAATTTGTATAATACACTTGCTTTATGGTTTGGAAAAAATTTAACCATTGCCTCAAAGTACCAACGTTTAATCCCTCAAACTCTATTATATTCTTTTGTTACAATCCATTAGCAAGGATATCTTAGACCTGCCCCCGCAACCACTTCAGGCTCGGAGAATAGCAAATTTCCATAGCCTTGCCCTTCAAAGATGCACATGAATTTCCAAGACTTTGTGAGTTTGAAGGACTGTTCCACTTGCCCATAAGATGGACACCTTAAATAGAATAACTAAGTAATAGTAGATAAATAACAAATAAATAAATAAATATTAAATAATAAATAAAATATTGGTAACTATGGTAATAGAATTTCTAAAACGCGATAAATTAAGTTTTTTTATATTTCTACAAAATTCAATCAAATATGTGCACTTTAAAGCTTTTTGAAAAATGCTTAATACTAATATTTCTAAATATCTTTGTAGACAATGTTTTGGAGTACAAGTAAAATTACAGTTCCATTAAATTTGATTAATCGATCGGTCTCAAGTAGTTCAAATGAATGGATTTATGGAAAAGTAACAATTTGAGAAATATACAAAATTTTAAATACCAAATTTTATGTTTCAATCTACAAGGAATATTTTAAAAAAGCGGTCTTGTTTCCAAGGCACATAAGAATTAATGACCAAAGTTTTATAATCCTTTTACTAACATTATCAACAAAATTTTTAAACTGTTCATTATTTAAGAAGCAAATTCTTCGATAAGGCCAAAAGATCACACCACTGACAACGAAAGAGCCAAATTTTGATTCCTTCTCAACCTCTGAATGAACTGGGTATTGGAAATAATCAAAATTCATAATACCCTGAAAAAATTATGAAAACAAGGAATTGTCGTTCTTATAACGGTTCTTGATTCATTTATATAAATTTATCATATAATTCAAAAATTCATTATGAACTGAAATTATCGATATAAACCAATAGTATTAAACGCTTGGATTAGAAATAAACCTAATTCCTCCTCAGCATTGCCATAGATCACATCGGAATCAGAAATAAAAGCTGCAGCTGCCCTCTTTTTCGCTACTTTTCCCATCTTCTTACCCTTCTTTTTAATAGAAAATTGAGATGATACCGTTGCGGCTTCTGCGATTCGAATTTTTATTATCAATAAAACAGTTGTGAAATTACAGAAACTTTCAAATGCTTTCATATCATTTCTGCAAAAATTAACGATTTAATAAATAATATAAAATTCTAAACTAATTACAAAGAAATAACTAAAAATAAAAAAAGAAATAACCAACTTCAAAGAATTAAAAGCAGGTGCAGCAATAGATGGTGGAAAATAAAGAAATCGCTCATTTATTAATAATCCAACAGAATAGTTCATATTAAATAATTCTATCAGTTGGTTAATAATATTTTCTTCAATATATTTATGAACTCGACTTTTTAACAAATCCCATATATCAAACGCATATTTCTGAAATATTTGAAAAACTTTTTCCATAATACTACATGCATAGTTATTAATATTTAATAATAATCAAGGTTTTTTTTAATGTTACTTTTTTTAAAAAATAATTATTATTATTTGATGAAAATGATAGAATTTGATACTTAAAGAATCAATACATTTATTTTCGCATGTTTTATATATATAAACTCGCCATAGATAAAACACCACAAATTAAATCTTCACCATCTTCATCAGCAAATTCTTCAGCTGTCTACAATAATAGAATATTTCGATAAAGTATTTTTATTTTATTTTATCAATTTATATTTTATAAAATTCATTCTCGAAACCTAACATTACTACATAATCGGTGAAGGCAATTTTAGAAAAAAATAAATAATTTTTAATAAATGAATAGTCACCTTTCGAGCATTAAAAATTTTGAAATTAGTTAGTTTTAAGTTGAAAAATAGGGAAAACACCAATAAATCTTACTCGATATATACACATCCAAACGGCGCCTGTTGAATAAATTTATCAGTTTATCAGCTAAAGAATTTAAATCAACTGGAGCTCTTTAAAAAATCTGAAATGACCATTTTATATTCTTTCAAAAAATAAATATAATGAAATTTAGAATTTCCAATTCATTAAAACTTTTTTCATAAAATCGGAAATTGCCAGATTTATTCAAATTTTTTTTCTACGGTGGACTTGAAAAGAAGTGGCAAATTTAATAGAAAAAACCCTTAAAAACTACGTTAATAGGCTGATAATGCCATCTTTATCAGAATCAATTAAAGGATAAGCTTCAAAGTCGAAGTTCAACCTTTCAGCATTCTCTAAATTGTCTATATTCATCAAAAAATCGCCTTCCTCATCCTCGCTTGAATTCTAAAAAAACGAAAAAAACAAAAGAAAAATAAGGGAAAGACGAATTTATTTAATCTAAAAGCATAAATTTATTTTTTAAAACAAAATAAAAAATGATAAAAATTTTATATTTTAATATTTTTAATCAATATCCAATTCAATTAACAGTTCATTTTTTATTTTTAAAAATAACAAACAAAAAATTTTTTTATGACAATTGTGCTAAATAAAAATAATAGTAAAATAATAATAAAACAATAAATAATTTTTTTATATTTATAAAGAAATCGAAAAATTTTTAAAAAATTTAAAATTTAGGAAAAAAATTTTTTTACATCAAATCGATCACATCCATTCATAGTTGATTTTCAAATTTGAAAAATTTTTTTTCAAATTTTTCAAATTTTTTTTACGTTCTTCCCACGTTTTGCAGATTTTCCGCACTTATCTGCGTTTCATTTAATCTTAAAAATATTGCTCAGTAAAATTTTTTAAATTATTTAATGAAAATAATAAAAAATGCCGAAAAAATTTCAATTTTTAAAATTTTATTGATTTTAAAATTTAAAAAATCTTTTTTTTAAATTTTAAAATTTTAAATTTTTAAAAATTAAGCAATTTTTTAACAAACTGGAATTAGCTAAAAATTCCTAAATTAAATTCTCCCAAGTGCGGAAATACGCAGCTGAAGGATAGGTAATGGTGGAAGGTAGGTTTCAAGCAAAAGCACCGACTTACAGGAAAAAAACTAACAAGTCTACATCGAGTGTCTTTCATGAAATCTCCAGAACAAAGGGCTATAACCTTAAACTGATTGTTAGTAATATTATGGTCTGAAGCTGCGAATTAGTTATTCTTTGAAATTGCGGTTTTGTAGTTTTGCATTTTATGCAGCAAGTGCGGGTAGGTTTTTAGTATCGTCCTTGGGGGTGTTTTGTCTCGGATGTTCTGCCTTGTAGGTTTGTGGTTTGGTTTGTTTTATTGTTCTTTAGTGGTTAGCTCGTTTGTTCTCTAAGACGCTAATCCTCCCCGTGGGAGGAAGGGGGTTCGAATGAATTCCAAGCATCGTCACTTTCACTCAGTGAAAGGTTTCCAACAAGCGAGCGATGGCAAGCGAGTCGAAGAAATGTACCGTCGTTCTGTGACTGCTTTTGGCTTATTTCGCATCCTCCAAGCTATTTTCTCAAAATGAGTTCTTTTCGCTTGGCTTATGCGATTATTTTTTATCCCATCTGTTCTATTTTCTTAAATTCCGTTATCAGTTATCAGTTATTGGCTTCATTTATCAGCTAAAAACATCGGATCCAAACCACACCACCACCGACTAATATCCTTTTATCCCCGCTTAACTGCTATATTTTCTCCTCAAAAATCGCAATCGTTACATTTATATAGCAGTTTAAATAGTCTTTTAATAATTCGAGAATTGTACTTTAATAAAAATTCATATTTTAATTTAATTTTAATTTTAAATTTTTGATGCACTTTGACATTGGTCGCACTGTTGTTGTTGTTGTAGTATATTTATGTGACCCTGCTTTGACCCTTCCTTGTTGCATTTCGCGTTTATCACTGCTCTTTTCTCTTATCTCTCTTTTAAGCTGAGGCCATCTCTGCAAGCATCTGTTAATATTCATATTTTTAATCATTTTTTCTTCTTGCCGTTCATCTGCTAATATTCACCATTTCTTGGTTTCGCTGGGTCACTGTTAAAGTGAGTCTCTTCACCAGAGGCTGTGAATTTTGTTTTAATCCCCAGCATCATCCGGATTTCACTTTTGATTACAGGTTTGATCTCTTCAAGGGTCGGGAATCGCCCGTTTAATCCAAGGCGAAGCAAAATATCACCATCCTACACCCATTTAGATAAGTCTTTCTGTTCCCATCCTTTTTTTTCCACTTACGCTCCATGTTGCGATGTTCTTTTTCCTAGAAAAATGAATAATTCTAGATGTCTTAAGTTTGGAATAGTTCGAGATTGATGAATTGATCGTGTTAAGCGATTTATATTTCATTAAAGCTTGATTTTGACATTCAGAAAAAAGCTAATCTTCTTTGTTTTATATTTAAATGGTTTATGGTTATTAAATTTCAGGTATATAATTTTCTATTGGGAAAATGTTTTATTCGGTTGGAATCTTCAAAACTTCCCATCAGAATTATAAAAGATTGAGAATTTTGATCGACCAGTTTTATGCTTCCATGTTGAAAGTTATTATTATTATGTTTAAAGTATTATATAAGTATATTTCTTAAAGTCTTAGTAGATTCGATGATTATTGTTTCTTGAAATTTCACCTAGTCTAGAAGAAGCTGAAAATACAAAATGTCTACAGAATGTCTTCAAATAGAAAATCGATTTTTAAGGTTGCTATTTATCTCAAAAAAATAAAATAAAATGAAATGAAATAAAAAAATGAAATGAAACTTTTATAAAAGAATGTCTTTGATAATTTTACGTTAATTATCCAAAAGAATTTTAAATTCCTTTTTTATTTCTGATTGTTAATTTGATTAAGTTTTAATTTTTCATTATTCTATAATCTTTGATTTTCCAAGTTGATTTTCATTTTTTTCATTTCTCTTTTTTTTTTATTACCCATTGCCGCTTGGACTTTACTTTTAAACAATACTTTTCTCGTGGACAAAGGACGAAGTCCATAGCGCTTTATTAAATTGATATAAATTGATAAAAAGAATATTTGCTACTGAAAACAATTGAAAACAATTGTATTTCATTCTTTTTATATGAAAATTTTTGAAGATGGTTTATTTCATTTCCGATAATTTTCATGTCTTTTCAGTTACAAAAAGCAACCTTTGTTTGCTCCTCAACAAATAAAATGAATCGGCTGTTGAAGCAGTAAGCGATATTCCGAATGGAGCAAAACTTCTTGTTGGCGGTGTAAGCTAACATTTCATTTTTATTAAATTTTTATTGCGAAAGTTTTTATTTCTGAATTTTTTAAAATAACTTGATCGGGGTTGCACCTTTCTTAAAAATTTGCCTTATCAATCATCATTTTTATTTTATCATTGTCATTTTTCTTAATTTTTATTGATATTTAAATTTTGCTTTTTTATTTACGTTTTATGACCTGTTTTTAAATGAAAATTTTCTTTTAAACTTTATATTCATATTTCATATATTTTATAAATTGTTTATTTTCATTTGAAAAGAAAACAATTTATAAATTTATAGGATTTGGTTTGTGCGGCATACCAGAAAATTTAATCTTTATGGATTAGTTAAAACAGGAGTCAAAGATCTTCTATGTGTTAATAACAAAATGCTGGTGTTGATAACTGTGGCCTTGGTCTTGAAGAATAAACAGGTATAATATTTGAATAATATTTATATAATATTTGAATAATTTTTACATTGGAGAATATGAATTTAAACATCTCTTTTTTTATAGGTTAAGAAAGGATCTCGTCGTACGGTGAAAATTCCGAATTTATCAAGCAGTACCTTTCTGGAGAACTAGTGCTCGAGTTTACTCCACAAGTATTTCATTTCTTTGCATGTTCTTTTTTATTTAATTATCTTTTGCCATTTTCTTTTTTTTAGGGCACTTTAGCTGAAAAAATTAGAGCAGGTGGTGCAGGCTTTCCAGCTTTTCATACTCCAGCTGGTTATGGGACTTTAATCCATTATGGTGGTTCACCTTTAAATAAAATGGCGAAGTCGAAGTGGTCAGCGCTCCAAAAGAGGTATTCACATATTGAGCTTCTTAGAAATTTGATATTGTTTCCAACAGGCTCTTGTTTTGTTGCTAATTCTTTTCTAACCAAATATTTTTTTTTTTTTCAGGAGCGTGTATTCCACTGAAGAAATTATATCATGGAAGAATTATATCATTGGTTCGAATTCTGCCTCTCAGAAGTAAACTAATCATTAAAAGTGGAAGCCACTGAGGATTTGCATGAATATCCTTCAAGTGATACTCAGACTGAAAACTCTCATCCAACTTGTGAATAAAGTAAGCTAATCCAAAAGGAATAAACTGTAAGAAAGACCATGTGAACAAGAAAGTTGAATATTAATTTGACGTTTCCATCAAATATCGTCTTGTATTAATTATTTAGGGTCATAAACACACCATATATAATATACTCATATACATTAAAGAGTGAAAGAAATGAAGGATCAACGGATAAAACCACAGTATTTTGGTGATTTAATAGGCAGGTGATATTTTATTTCTCTTAAAGTCAGATAAGAATCGACGAAATTTAAATTCGTCAAAAATCATTGTTTATATTCAATTTAATTCAAATAAGTAGATTATAATCTTCAATTGATGAATTCCATTGTAAATTATCGTTTAAATCTTCTATTCCAAATATATTTACTTGCTAGCGCTTGTCATTTCTTTTCTGCAGTTAGTATAATGAGAAATTTTTCTCAGGAAATCATCGATATAAATATAGGTGGGCCAGCAGAATCACCTGAATTTTTTAATGACAGATTTATTCTTAGTCTAGCGGAGACGGAAAATTTCAAGGCACATCATTCGTTTGATTATTGTTTTGTGGCTGGTTCAGTCAATTTTGGCATAATTAATGTTAGCCATAAAAATTAGATGAAAAAAAATCAATTAAAGAATGAACTTGATTTGACGAAAAGGAAAAGCAAATTTTGGAAATTTAAAAAATAATAAAAATGCATCGAGTAATTTCAACCACAATGATTTTCTTGACAAATTTGAAGATATTATATAAAAGATTTATTTTTTGGTCGTCTTTTAAAATTACAAAGGTATCAGCTAAGCATAGCATGAATAAAGAATTCGGGAATTTGACCTTCGACCTTTTGGCCATATTTATGTTCAAAAATAATTTTTGCCTAAGCGATTCATCTTCCAACATTATACTGGTGAGCGGTCATGCCTATCATTTCTTCTCGTTAAAAATCGTTCATATTATACTTCTATTAAATAAATATTTTAGCAGTCATATGGCATTTGTCCAAAGGGAATCTGCTATCCAAAATTATTTGTTTCTAATCGTTCTATTCACTTGAAAAGAAAAAAAAAGTACTTAAGAAGAATATTCAAAGTGGTTCCAAAAAATGTGACAAATAATGGAGTCGGATTAACTGAAGATAATTTTTTTTTTGTAAAACTTTAGAGCATTTGAGATCACAGTTGATTGCTGTTACGAATATAAGAGACAGTTCACTGAGAAATATGAAAAGCAGTAAGAATTAATTTCGCATTTAATAAGGTCCGTTGAAACACTCACTAAGGTTAATGGAAAACTTAAGATTCATTTGAGAACATCGACTATAATTGGCCTCATTACTTGCCATTATCCCTTCAACCACATCGACTGAAATATTTAAGGAGAACTATCGAAGAATATTTTTAAAGAAATAAAAATAAACCATGTTTAGTCCGGATGATGCTGGCGACTCAACTGTATTTCTGTCGCCAAGGAACTCCCTGGCATGTTGCCCAATGCGACAAGCAAGTGGAGCGAGTTTGAAAATAATGGTGAGGACTCTTAAAAAAAAACCCTGTTCAATTGGTTTGGTATAAATTTGGGCCAATAGGCTGCAGGCAGAAAAATTGCCACAAGTGTGGGAATCGATTAATAGTTTTATATAAATTTGTATAAATAATATTAAGAAAGTTGGTCGGCATTGAAAGGCTGCAAGTACTTAAATTTCTATTAGATTCTGTTTATTTTGCGCAATTCGGTCGTGCTAAATGGCGTTCAGAAATAAATAAACATGTTTTGCAAAATCCGAATGATATTGGCTTGGCTACTTACCTATATTTCTCTACTTTTATTCTTTGAAAGGATTCAACCAAAACAGAATTAATTTCAACAACAAGCAAGTGCGAAAAAAAGCTCATAACTAGAAAAATGCTATAAAGAAATATGTGGTCAAAAATCTTCGATTCATCGACTTAAGATAGCTTTGTCAATGGTTGACGGAACGATAAATAATTTCACTAGTTTATCAGACTGGGATATTCGATATACTGGGATAAGTAGGGTTAACAAGAGAAATTATTCTTTATTTAAAAAGAAAAGATTGTTTCTGCAAATATTAAATGCAAGAAGAAAGTTATATACGTTCTACAATAATTCTTATTAATTAACAATCAAAGCAACGTTATCAATGGAAATGATTGGATGATTCTACTGATAATCGCGAATCTTCGATGATTTTGAAATATTTAAAGTATACTTGAAATAAAAGATTTAAGATAGACGATAATTTACAAGTGAATTTATCAACTTATTTGAATTTAAATTGAATATAAACAATGATTTTTGACGAATTTAAACTTCGTCGATTCTTTTTATCCGACGCTAAGAGAAATAAAAGATCACCTGCCTATTAAATCACCAAAATATTATGGATTTATCCGTTGATCTTTCATTTCTTTCACTTTTTTTAATGAGTATGTATGTGTATGTGTATGTGAATATGGTATGTTTATGATCCTAAATAATTAATACAAGACGATATTTGATGGAAACGTCAATTCAATATTCAGATATCAGTTTATATTAGCTTTCTTGTTCACATGCTCTTATCTTTCTTACAGTTTATTCCTTTTGGTTTAGCTTACTTTACTCACAGTTTGGATGAGAGTTTTCAGTCCGAGTATCGTTTGAAGGATATTCATGCAAATCCTCAGTGGCTTACACTTTTAATGATTAATTTACTTCTGTCAAGCGACAAAATTCGAACCAATGATGCTTAATCAAGCTAGCACATCACTCGGTTGCTCTGTTCTCACTTTTTTAAATCGAAGTTAATCAGTTGTTTTATATTACCTATTCTATTTCATTATATGGCCAGGGAACTGCTTTCTTAATTTTGCACTAAACTTATATCGACTTTTTGTGTCATATCTTGAGTTGTGTCGCTAAATTAGCTCATTAATAAGATGTTTATCACCGAGAGTGGCTGGGATCAGAACCCGCATCACTTCTCACTAAGCGAAAAAGGGAAATAGAATGGTTCCGTGGCTTATCACTCATTTTTGAGAGCCAGTATTGAAATTTTATTTCTGATAAGAGTAAAACCTATCATTTAAAAGTCTGGGTGTGATACTGGCGAACTATCGATCACTTCTGTCACCAAATAACTTCCTGAAAAAATTTCTTATTGTACCTACAGTGAAGTGAACATAAGTAGAACGAGCGATCCTAGAAAAAAATTTTATCATTGATATTAAATGATAATATATATTGTAAATACTTGTTCCATTAATTCATTTTTATTTTTATTATGTACATTATTATGAGTTATCTTGCATTTATTTTTCTGTAGATTACGGATTAATGAGATGAATAATAAAGTAACTGAATTACTGAATTCGCATGTAACTGATATTAAAATAGAAGAGACTGCGAATTGCACATAGTGATATGAACATAATGGAACTTTGCGTATTGAATATTCTTGAATTTAATTTTTATTGTTTTGCGTTTATAACCGGATAATCCTCTAGTGTTTTTTCGATTTTCCAATTTTTCAGAATGACCAAAGAGATTATTGGCTCAAATAAAATAACAGATCTTGAGATCGAAATTAAGACATGCAAAAAATCTAAAGGGCTCGGATGGTTCACTACTGCATTATTTCTTGTGGCTGATTTGGCCGGTGGTGGAATTGTTGCGCTACCAATTGCTATGTTACAGTCGGGTAAATTGAAAATTTCCATTTGTGGCACCATCCCACAATGAAATTTCTTCTACCAATTCCACTTCTGCTTCAATCATTGTATTTTCAGGCAGTTATATAGGGGTAATTATCATTATCGCCTTATCCGTAGGATTTTGCTACACGGCACATATTTTGGGAGAGAACTGGACTATAATGTGCGAACGCTGGAGTGATTATGAAGAGCACTGCCGCAAGCCTTATCCGGAAATGGCTTATAGGGCCATGGGAAGACGTGCAAAGTGTTGCTTTCATTATTAATAAGTGGAATTTATTAACTGGCAAACGAAAAGATATAAAGCCACCATTTTAAGATTTTACTGCTGCTTCCTGAAATTTTCCTCTTGATATGCTATTTTGAAAAATTCCTTTATCGGTTCGAATTATTGCAGATCCATATGCTCAGGCATTCTAAATGTAATGCTGTTCGGTGTCTCAGTCGTTTATTTATTGCTAGCTGCACACATAATTAATGACTTCGTTACATCCATAATGGGCCATAATATTGGATTTTGTTTCATGATTGTTGTCCTCGCCTTCGTTTTACATCCAATTACTCTTCTTAAATCTCCACAAGATTTTTGGTTATTTTTTCTACTTTAACGTTAGATTTAATTTTAAAAATTTTCATGCAACCTGCATTATGCATCTGTTACAGAAAAGTACAGTAAAAGTTGATTCCTTCTCCTCAGAATTTTTTCTTTCTCCTTAAGAAATATTTACTTACTCACTTCCTTTATTAATTTAAAAAGGCTCATCTGTCCGTTCTTATTTTTTTCATGTTTTTCTTCCTGAAATCATCAATCAATTTAAATCATTTTTTTAAAGGTGGGCGGTTATTGGAGCGATGTTCACTACTGTTTTATCTGCCATATTAATCATGATCGGGACGGTGTTGGATGCTCCAATCTGCTATCATGCTCGAGGTATCTCTGAGTTTCAAGCTAGCAGCCTGGTACTTTCTTTTGGCACTTTTATGTTCGGATTTGGCGGACATGCAGTTTTTCCTACAGTTCAGCATGATATGAAAAATCCATATAAATTTACGAAATCAGCAATCGTTGCTTTTGCACGTTAGTCGATGTTTTTTGTAGCTTTAAATTTTATTTTTCATTTCATTCTGACTTCATTTAGAATTTTAAACTGATCTTTTGTACCAATTTTAATTCCTTAAGAATTTGTTTTCAGTTGTTACTGCAATGTATGGTCCAATTTCTATTTTGGGCTATAATGTTTATGGAGATAGTCTTGAATCGTCGATCATAAATTCTATTCAAGTATGTTAACCCAATTTATTAATTTTTATAATTTATATAATTTTTATTAAAATTGATTTATAAATTCATTTTTATTGAAATTCATTTCACTGGGGGACATTTCATGCTAATAAGAAGAGCCCAAAAGTTATTAGAAGATTGTAATAAAGCATGCATTTCATTTTTTTCTAATTCGAAGTCAAGCGAATAACGAATTTAATTTTATTCACGTTTTTTCATTAAAATTATTTTTATCTATGACATTATACATAATTTCTTTTTTATTTATTCTAAATGGTTGACTTACTGGTATGCTATAAAACTTTTATGTTGGAGTCACTTGCTTGAAATAAAGGTGGATAGCCAATACTGATCGGATTTTTTAATGATAGGCTAATTCTCTACGGAAGAGGGCTCAGACAATTCTATGGCAATTCGGACCGATAATCTGTGCGACAACTATTCAACTATTCGAACTCTCATAATATATTAAAAAATTTTTGCAGACTGAATGGATTCAACGTGGTGCGAATTTATTTATAGCAGTACATTGCATTTTAACCTTGACTGTGGTCATAAATCCTTTGAATCAGGAAGTTGAGCATTTATTTAATGCACCGCATCGTAAGTTATCTCAGTTTCTATCTATCTAAGATGTACTATGAAATCCAATCTTATTTTAACTATTATCGTTGCATTATCACGGTGAGACGACATTTTTATAGTTTTTTTTACAGATTTTTGCTGGCAAAGAGTTCTTATACGAACAGTAGTTATGATTTGTGTTATTTTTGTCGCTGTAACTGTACCGACGTTCGGACCTATTCTGAACGTTATTGGCGGAACCTCGGTCGCATTGACATCTGCCGTTTTACCATCACTTTACAATTTATATTTAAAAGCAACAGTATTTGACGAATCGGCGAAAAAATATCGACGACCAACTTTATATGAGTAAATTGTTATATGTAAATTGTTATTATAATTCATAATATTCTATCTGTTTCTTTGATATGATATTCACTAACAAATATTTTTTAGGATTATTGAACGAACTTCCAAAATGCGACTCACGTTAAATGTTATAATAATAGGTAAGATGAAAATAAATGTAAAATTTTTTTCAATGCTTCAATCTAAAGTTAATTTTAAATTCTTAAATTAAAAATGAGAAAAATGGAAAGAAACATCCGACTGATACTAGAAATTCACTTGTTTTTATCTCCAAGCGATTTGCTCGTTTCCTTCTAATATTCACTGGGCCAGTCGAGTCGAACCAGTGAAGTTAGGGTCCAGGGCCAGTTATAAAACGTTAGCTGTTCGAAAATATTCTTAATTACTAGATAAATTAGTGATCATTGAGTTAATCGTTTCTAAAATTTTCGTCAATTCACATATTTCTAATAATTATGTATTGAAATATCGCAGCAAGTTTTCAATGTTGTGATATTTCAGTATTAGCAATTGCTTGTGGCGCTTCAACGACCTATTCAGCAATTATTGATATGGTTTCAACTCGTTTTACAATGCCCTGCTATCTTTCATATTTAGAAAATGCCACATCAATTCATGAAAATCCGACTCATTGTTGTGGTCGATTTAAAAATATTTCACGATTTGGTGATTCTGCTAAATATTGTTTATAGATGTCACGAATCGTTGCTTCCACTTTAATTAATTATTACTTAGGCACTTAGGCATTTACTCATATTAATTATTTTTAGTCGTTTTAATTTTTATAATTTGATAAGCAATAACTCCTGCTTTTTATTTTAATTTCGTTTGGCTTAACTTTCACAACGTTATCCAGAAAAACTTTTTAGGTAAACTTTACTTTGAAATATGAGACATATTTATATGTGTATTTATCCAGGCAACTTGCTTCTATCATCGAGGAATTTCCTGGCATATTTGTATAGTGCGACAGGCCAGATGAGGAAGTCTAATTAGGAATGGTGAAAGTTTTTAAAAATAAGTAGAAGTGAGTATATAAGTGAGTACATTGCCTTCTTTAAATTCGCAATATATTTATCGCCGTAGTATTTTCCAGATTTTTTGTGTTATATTTTCCAACCTCAAATTGCATTTTTCATTTTCCAATTAGAATTTTATCTATTTATTACGAGGAAAAATATTATAAAGTTGTAGCCATAAACTTAATTAGTATTGTGCAGCAAATTTGTGATGCAGTAAAGCTTAAGCTTCCCTTATTTAATTTCATATGGAAATTTCATATTTATTCATTTGTTTAATGTTGTGAATGTGCTGAACTTATAAAATAGGCGGATAGCTTTTATAAAATTTTTGCACAATAAAAAAATTGTGCATATTTACATATTACATGTTTTATTCGAATGGCATTTATATAAATAGCTAATTGTAAATAGCTAATTGGATAAATTTGAAAAAATGGAACAAATAAATTTGTGATTTATTCATTCGTTTTTATCATTTTATCATTGTATTTTAGATGATATCTTAGATTTTACTTTCATAGAGCAATTTGGAAAAATATTTGCTGAAAGGATAAATTTCTCAGAAAACTTATAAAGAGATAAAATCTTTGATTAACCTATATTTATCGAGTTAAGCTGAGATCCCGAACGGGGGAAATTTTTTGGCGTTTTTTTCATTATAAGTAAAAAATATAAGCATAAAAAAATAGAGATTCTTCGACCTCCATGTTCTCCAAAGTATGAAAAATAGATCGGATATCGCTTTATAAATGTATAAAATATTTCAACTGTTTTCATTCCATAATTCAAGTTATATTATTTTAAGTAAAGTGGAATGTAGTAATAAGGAAGAATAAACTCGATATTTCGATGAAGCAAATTTAAATTCAAATAGCACCAAACAAGATAGTTCACAGGAATTTCGAACTCGTGAAATATTTAAATATAAGAGTAGAAATTTTGCATAAAATTTGCATGATCATTGGGTTATTCATTAGAATGCCAGAATATTTAAGAGAGTTAAGAGAGAAATCCAGGAAAATCACCAGTGCCAATTTGCCAACGTGGTGTGCAGCAAATTTGCCGTAGTGGATTCACTTCATGTCTTAAATTATATATTTTTAGACAATATACATATCAGCATTAAAAATTACAAGCAGTACGCACCGTTTTTGGTTAAACTGGCGTCCCATTGTTAAACTGAGGTACTGAAGTTTATTTTCAACAAAATGCTACCTGGGAATAGGGAAGTGAAATGCTAAAGGATTACTTGGGAATACGGAAATACTTGGAAAAAGATCCCACAACAACCCGAATTTCACTTTTAATGACAGGTTTTCTACTGTAAAAGGATAAGAATCGAATCCATACTGCCTGTCCTCAGCCGTTACTATAAACCATATGACCTTCCTGCCGTCATTTAAATGACCAGCGAAACAAAATTTAAAAAATTACCATGAACATCGAAATGGACAAAAAACCCATCTCTAGAAATTTACAAAAAAAAGATTGGATTAAAATTGGAGGAAATCTTGAAGTGTATGTCAGGAATAATTTCAATTTCAATACAATTTGCTAGAGGCATTAAATTTTGCAATGTGGCTATGCAAGAGTGAACGTCAAGATCCGCCATGGTGTT